GGGCCTGTTAATCTTGTCTCTGATGATGACGTTGTCACCCCTCATGACACTCATGAGTCGATTAACCAGCTTTTCGTTAGTGGTTTTGAGAGTGGTGAGTTAGGACCTGTTTTGGATGAACCTCCCCTATCTTCCTCTTCAACTCCCATATCTTCAGTTCCTTCTCTTCCTTCTTCTGCCGTGCCTTTGGTTCCTTCCTTACCTGCTCCATCTGCTTCCGTACCTGTTCCACCTGCCTCCGAACCTCCCTGTGCTGTTTTTACTTCTTCACCGCTCCTCCTTCTACTGTCCATAATACAGAAGTGGGTTCTACAAGTAGAAGGATCGCTATGAGGAGCGTGACTATCGAAGTTCCTGCTAACAACAACCTCTTGAGGAAATCCGGTCAGGCGGATGTTTTGGCTTGAGCCTTTAATAGGCCCAATTGAGAAAGAAAAACTGAATAGCCATAGCTGTCTGACTCTGATGAACGACATAGTTCATTCCACCTTGAAGGTATGTCCCTTCTTTCTTTAATTTGCAGAATTTTTTCTGGAATTCTAATTTTTCTTCCCTTATCATTTTCAGGCCAACCTTATTGGTACAGAGCTGATGAGCAGAGTTTCTTTATTAGAGAAGGTGGCACGTGACTCTGAAAAGGCTGTTCTTGATTCAGAGAGGGAAGCTCGTGACTTTCAGTTGGAAGCAGCTAATTGGAAGGAACAATTTGATAGTGCTCAAATTACTATAGAAGATTTGCAAGAGAACAAGAATAACCTGGAACAGCAGATAAGAGCATTAACCTCAGAGCTTGCGGTTGTTAAGGCTTCTTCAAGTCAGACAGAGAAAGAAAGAGAGCGTCTCGAGTCTTCTTTCTCAGAGCAATTATCTAAGTTGGTTCCGTTTAACTTGCTCGTGTCTGTTGCTACTCGTACCTATTGGACAACCTTAATTTTTTCTGACTGTTTGACCAGTCTACGTGTCTTGACACGTCATCTCCAATATGCAGAGCAAATTTTTCCCAATACAGTTAGGTCACGAGCATTCCGCAATATCAAGGCAAGAAAATGCTGCACTTATAATTTCGTTGTTTAGCTCCTAACAAAATATATCTGCATACATCATTTTAGCTTTATTGGTCAATAGACATTTACAAAGCACAGTATTGGGGTTGGCTATATGAATCATCGTTGTTCATCAGTTTGAGCTCATCTGTCCGACAACATTATGTCTAAAGCTTAAATAATTAAAAATTCTACGATTACAATTACATATAAGTTCTACCACTAATTCGAATAGTGAGACTTCAGAAATTCTAACTCGAGCTGCAAAGCACAATTCTTCTTCTTCTCATTCTCCAGTTCATTTCTCAGCTTATCAATCAGCTGGTCTTTCCTACTCACTTCCACACTGTGTTGTTCCCCGTGGAAAATACTTATCAAATTCATTACATTTTGCCTTTGATCATCCAAACTCTTCTTTAAAAACAATAAGCTAGCCAACATTACTTCCCTACTAACACTCCCACTCCCAATTTCAGTAACAATTTTTCTATCTCCACCACAAACAATAGCACCTTCGACCTCAGATTGGCGTGAACTTCCTGGTGAACTTATAGTCGATGTATCAGAACCCAGTTCCGATACATCGACTTGCTTCACCACATTATCATTATCTTGTTTTAGGCTAATTTGCTGATCTTTTTCAACCGGGAAAACTGGAACAAGTTCAAACCCTTGCACATTGAAATTCCATCCACTGATCCTTCTTTGCTTTGAAATTTCTCCCTGTTCTGGATCCTCCTCATTTTCATCATCGGATTTCTTCAACGACAATTGTCTTTGAATCTTTGATTGTCTGAACCTCTGCTCCACACTTGGCAAGCCCTACAAACAGAAGCGGATTTAGAATTTAAATTGAGTGAGTTCAAGGTTCCAAATTCTTTAAAAATATGAGTTCAGATTTACTACTAAAAAAAGGGTAGCCCGGTCCCGTTATATGCGGGGTCCGGGGAAGGGCCGGACCACAAGGGTCTAGCCTTACCCTGCATTTCTGCAAGAGGCTGTTTCTACGGCTCGAACCCGTGACCTCCTAATCACATGACAACAACTTTACCAGTTACGCCAAGGCTCCTCTTTAGAACTTAATATTGACAATAAATTCTCAAAATTTAACTGTATGTCCAGCCTACCTGCAAGATGTGCTTAACCAAAAAATCAGGACCTTTATTACTGCACTTAAAGAAAGGATGTTTCAACAATTTCTCTGCTGATGGCCTTTTAGATGGATCTTGATCAAGACATAATCCTACCATATCCTTAAAAGATTTGGAGAATTTCTTGTAATTCTTGCTGTTTCTTGTATTCTCATAATCAGAAAACCGAAATTTCTTTGTTATTTTCATGAACAAGGATTTTGAAGGAGGAAGATGAGACAGTGGAGGCCGTCCATGTGCTAATTCCAAAGCAGTAATACCAAAAGACCAAATATCAGCCTTGAAACTATACCCTGTATGTGAATGTATAACTTCAGGGGCCATCCAATAAGGCGTTCCAGCTACGTCAGTGAACATTAAACACGAAGAAGAGGATGAATACGACGACCCATAAGCTGAAATTGGTTCATAAATTGATGCAGAAACTCCAAAATCCGCAAGCTTTATAGTTCCATCAGAATCAATCAGTACGTTCCCTGATTTAATATCGCGGTGAAGATGGCCTTGATTATGAAGATACGCCAATGCATGGAGCGTTTCTTTTAGGACTATCGCGATACATGGCTCGGATAAACCATCAGGAAAACCAGAGGAAATTATGGATTGCAAAGAACCAGCAGACATAAAAGGCATGATTACCCAAATATAATGATCAACAGTGAAAGAACAGTGTGCTTTAAGGATATTTGGATGAGAAAGAAGGGACATGGTTTTAGCTTCACGTCTAATGTTGTCAAGATCAGCTCTTGATTGATCAAGATCAATGGCTTTGATTGCTACTACAGAAGAGTTCATTGGTAGACAAATGGCCTTGTATACAATGGCACTAACACCTTTACCAATCTCATCAAGAATTGTATAGCATGTTGAGTCTAAAGGATACTGAATTTTTTTGTGATCTTCTTGATCATGTTCTTCTTGATTATAAGCCATGAATATTTGGTTTTGAGAATTTTTTTTTTTTTGTTTTAACTTGTTGGAAAGAAAGAGTTAAGTATGGCAAATTTATGAATGGAGTTTCCACAAGAAGATGAAAGAAAGTATAAAAAGGAAAGGATACAGAGAAGATTGAAGTGGTTTTCCTGTGAAAGATTGGCAAAAAGGAGGTTTATTCAGAGCGGTGACATATTTATTTCATTACTTTTACAGTTTTATAGTATAAGGGTGTGCATGTGAATTTTCAACTACCTTTCTCTCGAGTTAGCCAGATGAGGATCAGGGACAATTGGCTTCATTCTCCAGTTTTGAGGCACAGCATTACGTGTTATGAATTACCATACCGAAATTGCAATGGCCGTGTTGTTATAACTTATACTCCTTCCGTTCTAATTTATATGAACCTATTTGACTTGGCATGAAGTTTAAGAATAAATGAAGACTTTTGGAATTTGTGGGTCCTAAACAAGTCAAAAAGCGGCCCAGAGTATTTGTGTGGTTATAAAAGCTTCTCATTAAAGGTAGAATTGTAACTTTAAGCTAAATTGTTACCCAATTTAGAAAGGGGTCATTCTTTTTAGAACGGACCAAAAAGTAAATAGGTTCACATAAACTGGAACAGAGGGAATAAGAGAGAATTGCCTCAAAATCCACAATTTGGTCTAGTAATTCTAGTGAAATTCCGGCTACAGTATTAACACCCAACTTTAGTAAAGGGATCAAGCCAACTTGACTAAAATAATGGTAAAAAAAATTTGTGGCGCCCAATTTTGCGCCACCCATTATATTTGTATCCACATTTTTTAAAAAGTTTAACTGATACATAATTTTTGAGTAACTTCGAATACAATTTTCTTCTTCTTCGTTGTTGTGCTTCTTCTTTGTACTTAGTGTTTTTTCTTCTTAGTTGCAAAATGAGTTTGTTAAATTTGTTATTGTTTTGATAATTTGATGATTGAGTTGTGTTCTTTATGATATTTGAAAGTTATGTTTCAAATTGGAGCTCATTTGGAGTAGATTTGAGTATTGACTCGTATGTTGGATTGTTGAAATTCGGAGAATACGATTATGTTTCAGAACTTAAGTTTCGAAATCTGAAGTTGCATTGAAGAGATTGAACTACTTAAGATTCGAATTTCTTTAGTTGCATTTGAAAGATAGAAGAACTTCAAATTTGATTTCTGAAGTTGCAATGAAGAGATTAAACTAGTTAAGATTCGAATTTCTGAAGTTGCATTGGAAGGATAGAAGAACTTCAAATTTGATTTTTGAAGTTGCATTGAAGAGATTGAACTACTTCAGATTCGAGCTGGTATACTTTGTAAAATTTTGCGCAGCATGACTATAACTTCAAATGATGGCCTCAAGAGGGGCTATATATGAAAGAGAAACTTTCAGAAACCACTATATTTTAGTGGTTATTAGCTAGTTGTAGCTACCATTTACTATATTACTACCTATAGCTATATTTTCAGATTTTTTTGAATGTATTCGATGTATTTAAGCTACTGTATTCATGAATACAGTAACATTCTGTGACGACCCAAAGGAGTCATCACTTATTTCTTTCCCATTCTGTACTCCCGAGGCCTTGAAAACCTCATCTAGGGTTGCCTCGATTTGCATGCACAGTCCGGGCGCGTAGCCGGAAAGCTTAAATATGAATTCTGTGAGAAAAATGCTAAATTTTGATATTAAATTGAATAAATTTGACTTCAGTCAACATTTTGGGTAGACGGACCCGGACCAGTGATTTGACTGTCCCGGAGGGTCCGTAGGAAAATATGGGACTTGGGCATATGCCCGGAATCGAATTCCGAGGTCCCAAGTCCGAGAAATGAGTTTTTGTGTGAAATTATTTTCTGAAAATAATTAAGGAAATTGGAAATGAAATTTGATTAGAAGACTATGGTATCGGGCCCGTATTTTGGTTCCGGCGCCCGGTACAAGTCTTAAATATGGTATAAGCGCTTTCTGTAAAGTTTGGTTGAAAACGGACGTCCTTTGACGTGTTTCGGACTTAAAATGGAAATTTGATGTTTTATGAAAATTTGGAAGAAATCATGACTTTTGAGGCTTGATTCGATGTTTATGATGTTATTTTGGCGATTTGATCGCACGGATAAGTCCGTGGGATGTTTTTGAGGTTGTGTGCATATTTGGTTTGGAGCCCCGAGGGCTCAGGTGAATTTTGGATAGGCCACGGATTGCATTTTTGAACTAATTAAAATCTGGTATGCCTCTTCTGTGATCTTCACATTTGCGAAGTGCCTCTCGCAATTGCGAGCTCGCAAAAGCGAGCTTTGCATCGCAATTGCGAGGAAGGGAAAAGCGTAGCTTGGTCGCAAATGCGAACAATTTGTTCGCAAATGCGAATGAAGTCAGTCGCAAATGCGACGATGATGATCGCAAATGCGAATGTTAGCCGGTCGCAAATGCGACTTTGGGCTCGCAAATGCGAAGTCCTTAATTCCTAGCAGAGTTCGCAAATGCGAACTTCTCCTTCGCAATTCCCATACCTGCGGGGTTCGCAAATGCGAGCCCATGTTCGCATTTTCCACATCTGAGGCCCAGCAAATTTTATACTTAGTCGAATTTTCATCATGTTTCACCATTCTTTCAAAACCCAAACCACTTAGGCGATTAAGTTTCATTCCAAATCATTTGTAAGTCGATATTTACTTAATTCTTCCAATCATTTACATCATTTAACATGTTTTCCACTTAAAATCAATGAATTTCATGGGTGAAATTGGGGATTTTGGGTCGAAACTAGGTTTTTCTAAAATTGGGGATTTGGACCTCAATTTGAGGCCCGATTTCAAAACAAATCATATATTTGGGTTCGTGAGGGAATGGGTAACCGGGTTTTGGTTCGAACCTTGGGTTTTGACCATGTTGGCCTGAGGGGCGTTTTGGCCATTTTGCCTAATTTCGCGCTTTAGCTTTGAATTAAATAGTAGAATCAGTTGCTTGAGATGTTATTTACAATGTGTAATTTAATTGAATATATTTGGGCCATTGGAGTCGAGTACTCGTGGCAAGAACGTAGTTGCTAGTTGATTTTAGCCGGTTCGAGGTAAGTATCTTGCCTAACCTTGTGTGGGGGACTTCCCCTTAGGATTTGAGTCTTCTTTGTTGATTGTATTCCTTGTACGCGAGGTGACGAGTGCGTGCTCGGATTTATTTGTGGAAAATTGCCCCTTTTAGGCTCTCAGATCCTTGTAATCATCGAATATGAAGTTGTTCTTGATACGATTGAGTTCTCTGTTATTAGTTTCACCTCTACATGACATACTTGGAATTTATCTGCCCTTTTTGGTTATATCTTGTTGCCTAATTGACTTTTACTTGTTTAACTGTAGACATTTACCCTTCTATAGTCACATTATCATTCCTAACTGCTTGTCTTTATCTGGAAAGCATTATTTCTATCTCTCGTGTAATTAATTGGTCTTAATTGGAAAGAAGTTAGATATCCTATGTTTAGTTGATATTTCCTTAATTTTATATTTGATTCATGTTAACTTTCTTGTTGTTGAACTGAGTATTATGGAATCGTTGTTTCGTATTTCTCCCTTGTTGAGTTGTTCTTATTGCGCTTAGTATTTCTCTGTTACGGTTATTCCTTATGAGTTAGTCATACCGTCTTTTGGTGAACGGAAATACCTGAGTTGATTCTCTTGCTTTGTTCCTTGTATATATTGTCATTTGTTGTGTGGTACTTGAGACTGTGATACACGAGGTTTCTGTCGTGCGGTCGTTGATACTATGATGCACGAGGTTTCTGTCGTGCGGTCGTTGATACTATGATGCACGAGGTTTCTGCCGTGCGGTCGTTGATACTATGATGCACGAGGTTTCTGTCGTGCGGCTGTTGGTACTGTGATGCACGAGGTCTCTGCCGTGCAGTTGTTGTTGAAGGGTTGCACCAGGTCTTTGCCGTGCTATTGTTGCTATTGATGTTTTGCACATGCGGCGTAATAAGGCGGGATATGCTATATGCTTATATGTGGGTTGCGCATGTGGCGGAATAAGGTGGGAACATTATGATGCACGTTTGGCGAAATAAGGCGACGCTTATTATGTTAATAATTGCACACGTGGCGAAATAAGGTGGGCTATGTCAGGGGTTGATTGTAAAGAATTATGACGACCTGTGGAGGCATTCCTATTTGTTTAATATTGTGATTGTAGGTTGTTTACTTGTATGCGCTTTACCGCTTGGAAGTTGTGAGGGAACATTCGTACGTGCAGTCCGTTCTTCTTTTCATGTTTACTAGGTTGGAAAATTCTTGTCAAAAACACTTGCACAAGCATACACGTAGTTGGACATCCCATTAGAGGTGAATTCCTTCCGATTTTGTTAAGGGTGGAGATACGCCCTCGTTCATCCATTATATATGTGAGAGTGGCCCTAGTTAGCCAGTTAGTTGTCAGCATGACCATGAGATTGATGGGGCACAGGATGCCAAGTGTTAGGTTTCAGTTGCCGGGTCTTCGTGAGTTGTGGTTTGTCCGAGACTTGGTAAAATTGTGGAAGAGTTGAACAAGACCTTATGTGAACATCATTGTAGGATATGAGTTATTGACTTGTTTTTCCCCTTACTGTGTTGTGACCTTAGGATTTGGATTGTGGTTCTGCCGTCATTTTCGTATCATCATTTATTATATTCTCGTTGTTACTTGTTGTCCTTTTCCCTTATTGTGAGTTGTAGCATTTTTGGTCATTCATGCAGTCTTTACATATTTATATATCGGTCCCATTATTCCTATGATTATACTGTTTATTTGACCGGTAGGTGCCTTGACTGTTCCTCGTCACTACTCCACCGAGGTTAGTCTTGATACTTACTGGGCACCGCCGTGGTGTGCTCATGCTAGTCTTCTGCACATTTTTGTTGTGCAAATACAGGTACCCCCACTCAGTTCTGTCAGCCTTGGAAGGAGGCGTATCGGTAGAGACTTCGAGGTATATCTGTTACGTCCGCAGACCAAGGAGTCCCTTTCCAGTTTCTGTAATAAGTATAGCTCATTCAGTATTTTCTCCTTTGTATAGACAT